AATAACAATCTGAGAAAGTTCATTCATGGTTACTTTAACATTTAATTTGACTTTTGGATTCTTTAATGTGAAGAAGCTATTTAAGTAATTTATAATTAATGAACGTCGAAAGTTGAACTCAGGTGCAAGTATGTTCTTAAAATAATGCAGTAAGGGGTACCTGAGGTCTCCCACCACCAAAAATGCTGTCGCCATATATCCTTTACAGTGTTGGTGCGATGAAAGAAAAAAAACAACAAAAAACAAAACATCCAACACAAAAAATTAAACATTCTTAAAATAATAAAAAGGGATAATTGATTTATTATCCATTTATTATATCTTAACTATCTACAGTGATTCTAAAATCTAATTAGGCATGGATTATAATATGTGATAAATTTACATACGTAACAAAAATAGAGTCATTACTTTCGACAAAAAAAGAAACACATAAATAAACAGATGTTTGGTAAAGTTTTTGTCGGAAAATCACCAGACAGTAAAACTGTATCTGAATATGATATTTTTATAGATAAAAAAGCAATGTGCTTGTTCCATAGGTAAATCTGTCCGGCAGAAGGCTCGAAATTATCACGGACTAACATCATTTTTAAAGCATCAACTTATTTATTTGTTTAACTTAAAAACTCAAAATATAAAGGCAAAACAAACGCAATGATGCACACACGCTGCAATATTTTAGAAGAGCTCAATATTATACAAAAAAAATGCAACACTAATTCAATCAATTTGTCCTTCTGTCAAGCTCGACGGTCTAAATCGTTTCAGTATTATTGTTTTTTAACATTATCGAAAATGATTCACATTCATCAATTTTTATAGTCACATTTCAAATAAAATATCGAGTCATATTGTATTTTTAAGACTGCCGGTCTATTCATTTTATATAACAGGGGCTTAACAAATGTAAATTTCATCTTGCAACATTTTGCATTTAAATAATACGGAATGTTTGTTTTTATGAACTGGCACCATTTTTAAAAAAAATAAATATCAGAAGTCACCTATTGAGATCCCTTACCTATTTCATCAACATTCCAAATGACACGATGTCCATTTAACATTGCTCATAAGGTCTATATGCAAAAGACCGACCATAAACGATTGTTGAACGTAAAGTGTACAGTGTACGAAGTAACTAAAACAATAATTCGTTAACAATTTTGACAGTGCCTACCCTTCAGTTCTGTTAACTTAATTGTATCAGTTGAATAATTTTAAGCAACCTTTATAAAAGTTGCTCACATTCGTTTTGGTGCATTTGTGATAATGATGATGATCACAATGAATGTCAGATTTTGACAGTGTTTCATGTGGTTAGGTTCCCCTAATGAAATGATTAACCACTATACAACAGGTTATTACCTTTGTACGTGCGAATAAATGCACGACTGAATAATTGGGAGAGAAAATGAAATTATCAAAATAGTATTTGATAATAGATATTTTTGCAGCATTGTGCATAAAACGTTAAGAGAAATTTGACAATCTTATTATGTCTTCTTTGATTTGTATTTCAATGAAAATACTTTTAGCTGAATAGAGCATACAGTACGTATGAGTTTGTTTAGTCCTTCGGGGTATCGAGATTGTGTCGAATCTATCTTATTCTGCAACCAAAATTAAATACTCAATAAAACAATTCTAAAAAGAAGCCAATGTTACATTGTTTTATTGTTATTTCATAAACATACTGTCTTACCAAACCGAGTCTTTGTCTCATTTATTTATTTTCTTTGAAAATAAGCATAAATAAGGAATTTGATAATATACGCTTTGTGATGTTTTTTTGTCAGTGTTTATATTTGTACTTGATTTACTTTATTTGTTAGCCACTCATAAAACAACAACAAAAAACAATTATTATCACAATAAACAACTGATTAATCATTGTTGTACACCAAATAGCCACAAGTTAGCTGTTACTGAAGTCATCTTATATTTCGAGTATTCATATCAATTAAATAGGAATACAAAGGTGTTTACACTAAAGAAAGGTTAAAAAGCGACTAAAGGAAACATTAAATGTAATGTCGGTAACTTACCCAGTTACAACCGAAATATGCCTGAATTAACAATAACAGTCTGAAATATTGTTTGAAAACAATATATCTCGACTATCCGACTTTATTTTATTATGATATCATACTGATTATTTGTTTGTTTGTTTGATTCGACAGTTCACCGACACAAGTTAGGTCATATTGCAGCGGAACAGGAAAAATGATTTTGGATTACCTCGGGTGTAACAAACTTCAGCAACACCCTGGGTCAAAACCATTTCACATGCTGGAGCTAAGAGATAAATAGACTTTAGTAACTCGAACCCATTGTTTCGTCTCTACGATCAGAAAGGCAATTATGCTGCCCAACAAGTATAGTCAATAATGATACTACACTTGCATTACGTAAAATATCCCCTAAAGAACGGATTAATGATAGGCCGACTATGTAAGCTTTATGTAATTAATATATAAACGAGATCTAGATACTACATGAATGAATTCTAGTACTTGTAATACATATCAACAATGACAAACCTATCTGAAAGATAAATCAGACCTATCCCAAAGATAAAATAAGACTCAATGTCAAGAAGACGATAATTATGACACCGAGACATTGGACAATTAATAAGACAGTTAGCATAAAACAGAAGCACTTTGGTCACAAGGTAAATTGAACCTATCCATATTGTTCTACTCATTTAATTTCGTCTAATTTGTTGGTTTTCATATTATGAAACATTATTCGCATTGGCGGTTTACGATTTAATCTGAATTGATGAACAATTGAATATCTGATCCAAGTGTTATGACTCCCGTAAACAACTTTGATACAGTAGCATTCTATTTCATATGCCTAAATGCACGATAATATAAATGAGGGAGAAAATGATATCATCTTGAATGCATTTAATAAAAGACATTTTGCAGACCTGTATAATATTCAGATTTGTGAATATTGAGCTGGATCGATATATATACAAATGTCTAATGTAAGAGAAATTTTTTATTTCAGACTTGCTTTTGAAAAACATGATCAAAGTCTTAGTTTTCTAAAGAGAAAAAAAAAGAAAAAGTTTTACACAATCACACCAGACATCCGGATTGCTTGCAATTTTAAAGAATTGTTCCTTTGTTTTCTCAAATCTATTGAAAACAATTATGAGGAAAACTCAAATATAATTAGCAACATGATTATCACGTTTACGTTAATAAGGGCAAACTATTCTAAAATTATCAAAATTTAACAAAGGCGTCTTTATATGATATTCACTGAAAATTATTTTCATAGGTATTGCCCCATATTGCAATAAGTTGACATAGGTTTAATGGATTTTGCACCGGTGGGTTTTTTGTTCACATCATAAAAGGATAATTTGAAATACAATGCTAGTCAAATATCAAATAATAAGACGCTTAAAGGTTATGCGCAAGGTTTGTTAGTCATTTAATGGACCCCAAATTAAGTGTTCTTTAAATATAAAAAAAAAACAAAATGCGGACATGAATTAATGTCATATCAAATTCATTATGTGACAGTTAAATGTATCTCGTATAACTACAAATGTCACCAGATTAGTGTAATCAAATTAATTTAATAAAATAAACATTAATGATTGAAGTTCCTTAATGCAATCAAACGAATAACTAACATACCACCAGCATTTTTGTATAGCAAGTGTTTATCTAGATACATACCTTTCATTGATAAAAACTATCATAGGTCAAATAGTTTCAAAGAGAATCGATATGGTACGACACAAATGTATTCATTTTGAATTTATATCATAGTAAGACTTTTAGGTCTGTTTTTGTGATAACTCAGTTAGAATATGGGTTTCCTTGATTTTTGAAAAGAGCGTGTAATTGCACTTTGTTACATAATATTATAAACAATATTTTGTCCTCTGCTTTAAAACAGAAAAGGGGTAACGTTTTAAATTTCGAGGGAATAATGGTGAAATATAAGATATGACATTAATAGTCATCTGCTGATCATCGATGATACTGGGAAAAGTGGATATTTCTTGAGCTGTTAAATCAAAATAAGAAAACATGCTCTTTTTATGAACAGCTTCTGATTTTATATTCTGTCTACGGTCTTTGATATAACAAAAGTTACGAACATTTTGACATTTTATTTCAAGAAAAATTGGAAAAATTGGTCAAAAGATTCCACCCATTTTTATTGTTGGGACGGAAATTTCCGTAAGTATTTAATAATTTATAATTCTGGCTAACAATTTGATGCCGTATGGGTGTAGATAGTAATAATTTGAGATCTTTGAGATCTTTGTCTAAGAGTGTTGAATCTGAAACTATCAAAAAATAATAAAGTGTTAAATTATTATTATAACTTTTCTGGGTTTTTCCTAAATTTATTAATCTGTCTCTATGAATTATTTAAGTATGTTACGTACAAAATGTTTGTTATCCTAAATAATTGTTATCCTCATGTTAGTTGTCGAACTTCTAACTGTTTCAATGTGGGTTATCAAGGTAAAAAAATTAAGCGTTTGATTTATTTGCATGTTAAAAGATATGCACGAGTTCAGTGAAAGGCTGTTTCCAATTATCTAATGAATTCAAACATTCCAATTTATGTTGAATACTCTGGTTTAACTATTTACAACTAATACTTTTTAATTCCCACGGCAAATGAGGTACCATCGTTCATCAGTGAATACTGCATTCTCTGCTGAAGTGTCTTTTAACACACAATTGTTAAGTAATATATTAGTTTGTTAAGTATATTAGTTGTGTTTTTGACATAATTATATGATTATAAATTTGTTTTACTGAAGCACACCAATTGGTCTCCTTACCTACCGCCTTGCTCATTTTGGACATACGAGTATATGGCAGATTAGGCAATGGTTTTGCACCATACCTGCGATTTTTACACGTTTGTTTTTTTCAACAATGAAATGACAATAGATTTTTTTTACATTTTATTATAACAAAATAAAAATACATACTTTTGTATAAAGTTTAACATTTTTATTGGACATTGAAATGTTTTGGACCATTTCTAAATATACATAAAATGAACATTTATGCAAAATAATACAATGAACATTAAAATTAGTTATTTACTAAATTAAATTTACTAGTACTTTACTTAAAAGAAAGAACTCATTGCAAAAATGAGTTTTTTTCTCTTTAACAATCTAGTAACAAACAGAAAAAATGTAAAACACATTGAAAGAACACAGATAAAATAATTCTTGCACAATTTTTCCTTTGTATTTCATTTGTTACAATAGATTTATAATAAAAAATAATCCATTTTTACGTATAACTTGTATTCGACTCGTGTGTATTTTTCTATAGCTTTATTACGATTACACATACCTTTTACTTCCAAGCTTTTTCAATTCAACTTCTTATCACCAGAAGCTGATGTGTTTCTTAGCAGTGCAAATAGTGATAATTTTTTTGCACGGACTTTAGCCTAAACTCGTGTTATAACTAATTTAACTACAACATATCATATCAACCTTACGTCAATACAAATAATGTATCAAGTAAAGCTACAAATAATGGGACTGTATGGTTACACAATAATGCATTAGTCAATGGTAACATTATAACTACGATTCTGTATATGATACTGAGGTAATTTGTTGAAAACAAAACATCAAAAGGAAACAATACGTTTGACAATGAACAGGTGTTGACTTATTATCATGAAAATAAGAAGAAAATCCAAACCGGTCATCACACAATGACAACACTTTCCTTTGGCTTACTCACACCACTTATACACAGCCACAGAAAATTCATTACTCTGACGAAAGAAATATGATTGTTTATATAAACTATTTGTAGCTTATTTTAAAGCACTGTCGATTAAGCACAAAACAGTAATAATGTCTACTGAAGAAACATTTAAGTGACCAAGTTGGGCACGGATCAATTCTTTCTGTCATTTGAGAAAATGCATTTTGCTAGCCTAATAAAACCATAATGTTTCCTGCACACGATCTCAACATAAATGAAATTTGTTTATTTCAAAATGTAAATCAATTAATAATGTATTATTACACTTGCATAAAACCACAATTTCTTCATATTAATATTGATACTTCTTTTCACACAATTTATGCCGTATGTCTTTTTCTGTCCTTTTTTTATATTTTTCAATAAAGTTACTGATGATATTCCTGCACTGCTACGACCTAAGGTCATGGGTTGTTGTTCAACGCTTCTAACTCCTCGCCAAAGGTATTCAATTCAGAATTACTATGACCAGGTCCTGTATACGTTCGCTTCCAAAGTGCTCTAACAATTTTAAATGAAGATAATAATCTGTCCTTAGTATGTTTCACATCATTGCGATTGTCTGACTGATGTAATGTTTTATGAGGATTTCGTTGAAAGTCTATGTCTCGGTTGCTACTTTTTGTATGAACAGAAAACCTCTTGAATAGTTTGAAGAACAGAAATATACATACGACGACACCTGCTAGCAAGATTGCCCACCAATAATGCTGAAAAGACAATATATTACAATTGAAAAAATAAAAGTGTATCATAGCATTAAATTATGTATAAGTCCGCAACAAAAATGGAGTTGTATTCAAAGTTTGTTTATTCTCCCATCTACAATGCCATTTACACATTGATACCGGTTTTTTTTATTTTTGGTTTTTACTTGTCTTGTTATTGGTGAATTTTACATTTAAAATGGGTGTGACATTAAGGAGTTTTATCATTTAATTTACATACTAGTAGTACTCACTCTTAAAATAGATACAATGTTTCCTTCACATTTAGTACCAGGTTGGCAATGTTTCATTCTAGGCAATGGTGTATCAGGTCCAGCAACTTGACACCGTTTTTGTACGTCGCAATAGCCAGTGTCCTTGTTACAAGGTGTGCCTGTAAAAACGAATACTTCTACTTATTATTTAATGAATGCCTCAAGGACCATGATTTACTCATAGATCACTGTGCTTAAATAAAATGAAGCAACAAGACAACTCGACAAACTTCAGCCACACAAAACATTCGAAAGAGGCGCAGCAAGGCGTCGAAAAAAAGGTTAGGCACAAAAGTCGCAGAACGGGGGCACGGGTAAGCAAAAACCTGTTCTCGCCATTTGTTGTTGTTTTTTTTATTATTAATATAAGATTAAGTGAATATTGAAGAAATACTACTTGCCAGTTGGAAGCTGTACGGGACGAATTGTTGCATTACTTGAAATATTTGATAACAAGGCCATGAATTCAGGATGTTGTTTAACCTTGTCTATATCGTGTGAACTGATACACTCATCAGACCGTCGTCTCCCTGAAATGTTAAAAACGGTCTTTGAAAAGTAGTCACACATTGTAAAGAATATGGACTATATGACAAATACTCATGCATGTCATAAACACAAACGTAACCTATCCTTTCAAACATTGACAGGTCATGAACTTATAATTGTGCAAAACAAGTAAGTTTTCATATATTTCTACTCTAGACCTGGTAACTTATTGCGAAAACAATTCATTTAGAATTTTAGGAATATGTTTTATTACAAATTGAAGTATATTAATATATCAATATATTTGTCAATTTGTAAGCACGCATTTGCCATTTCGGAAAATGGTCAAATAGCATTTGTTATCCTTAACATAGTATATTTTGTTCAAATGTAAAAGTAACATCAAATATAAGAATTGCAATAGATTAAAAGTTTACTAAGGCTATCACATTGCAGAACTACAAACAGTTTTTGTAGGTAGTAAGTTGAGATTAACTTACGACAGCCAATATAACACAGCTCCTCTTTCTGTTCAATAGTTAGGTTTTCATTATCATTGGACATCAAGCATTCTCGCCATTGTATCAGTTTACATATCGACGCATTACAGCACTACAACATGTACAAAGAAACCCAAAACAATACTGTCTCAATAAAATGGATAACTGATATGATTTGACATGTCATATGCGGATAAGTGCCCCGAAATCTTTTCGCTTTACCATTAAATGAAAACCATGTAGCTAAAATTATGTGATATTAAAATGCGTTTGATTTTTAATTATGTAGCAAATTGAATTATTGATGACAGCACTATATGTGAACCGAAATACTTAACACACAACTGTATCTAGAAATGCACCCAATATTTATCATTTAAAGTTTGCTTATATTATATAGCATTAAGGTAAAGATTTACCCCTGCGTCACAAACACGTCCATTTCTGCTGCATATAAAACCATCTTCTCGCTGTTGATCTAAACGTGGCGGTGGGCACTTAGGACCGTACATCTCTCCAGTGCGAAAGAGTTAAGGAACTTGAATTTTGTATTATAACATATTTTAGTAAAGGAAGTTGGCAAGGTGAAACAAATGAACCCTGACTTAACAAGAATGAAACAGCAAAATCGTTTGTGCCTGCTTCGTGAAACCGTTTATAATGTTCATAAGAAAATCCTATACTTGTTTTATTCCTATTAAGGTTGTGGTTAACGAAATTATCACTTTCGTACTTTCTTCATAATCTAAATCGTATGCTTAGGAGAATATGATGCTCATATGAAGATTATCATTTCAAAATGTTTTGTAGTAGCATCTAGATTTTGTACATAGTTTTGATGAAAAGGATATTGGCAGTATAATTCGTCGACACATGGTTTAGAGTTCTGACACACAAAATTCTCTGATTTATTTATAAACTGACAAATACTGCTGTCACAACATGGTCCTTGACTTGGACTGAAATAAAATGAAGATTTTTTTTTAAAATGACAAGTCATTTAAAATATTTAATTTTTGTATTTGGACACTTCATGTATTCAGTATTTCACAGGCTGCGTACTGCATTATATTAGTAAACGCTCAAACGACATTTATGGTAAACGAATAAGTATTTAAAACACAACATACTGGATTTAAATGAAATAAATATTTATATAATTTTACTTAATTTGCGTCAAAATGAATATTTCAACTAAAAATGTTCCTGAAATGTCACAGATGCACTGCATGATTAAGTAGGTACTGAAGAGCGTAGTCAATCCTGTTTGACAAGTTTGACATGGTCTTATTATGGTCTCATTATGATCTTACTTAATTGACTTGCAACGTCAATTAATCATGTATCCTACACTATTAAATGTATTAAAACAATACCCTTTATGTATCACCTGCATTGTGCCGCAGCTTTTAGCATACATTTTAAACCCTCAGTTGCATTATGGGAATGACAGCAAGCATCTTTACCTGTATAGCAGTCGTTACCACAGTCACATTCCTCCCCGTCTTCAACTATACCATTACCACAATATGGTAACTCACTACCTGGTGAATTATATGGCTATATATTAAATTGGTACTCACTTATTGCTGAACAATAATTATGTTTGAATATCTAATAGCTCTCTACTATATGAAAAATATTGCTAAACATCAAATAAGTAACTCATTTCTTATTGAAATATTGTCTGAAAATTAGGTTGGAAACTCACTATCTGATAAAATGATAAACTATAAAATTGGTTATTCACTACCTAAAACTATATATAGCTAAACGTAACTTTTTCACCCAAATACCTGCTCCACCTATAAGGTTTTAAATATAACGCCTAGCAGTAAATGACTTTTGTAACATCTTTAACTATTTTATTTTAAAAATCACACTAGTCAAGTAGTCATACCAGTAAAACAAGTTGTTGATTTGTCGTCCATAGACAGCGCTCTTGATATATATTTAAGACTACAAGGTGATAGTTTATGGTGATTTGGTTTGTCTCCGCGTTGTGCGACATTATGCATCAAATAAAAGCCGTCGACTGGTTCCTCTTTCAGATTAAAACCTGCGCATTCCTGCATAGTGTCATGCTTAAAAGTAAAAGGCAAAATGCATTTCAGATATACTACGCTCAATTTAGAATATTTGTTTTTATGAATAAATTGATACAGACATATTTTAATCAAGTTCTCTTATTATAGATTCTATATTCTGTACTCTGTGTTATAGGATTTGTATTGTTCACCTCCAGTTTAGTTGCATTTTCAAAACAAGAATTTACAAAACTTCTCTAGTAAAGCATTTACTTAATTTTAAAGTTATCACAAAAGTCGTCGGTAAGACATTTCACCATTATATCAAAACAAACTATTACTTTTAAGACAATTGTTCTTACTAGTGCGCCAAATGCATGTGCAACTTCGTGTGTAAACACCAATTGTGTAACCATTGCTGGTAATGCTTGTGTAGTTTCTTGAAATAATGTGATGAATCCATTGTTTATGTTAGAACATATTCCCCCATCTTTGTCTGTAAATAATATTGATAGTGAAATAATATCGATTGTTGACGATCATACGACATACCACCTTGAGTAACACAACAACATCAATAAAAGAATGTTGAAACATTCTATTAAGTTATGCCAAGGCGTCGAAATCCGATGAATTTTGACAACAACATAAAAAAAATCTACACATTGACTTAAACTGGATAACATATCTATCTTCCTGTAATAACAAATGCTTGCTTGTCATTTTTGTTAAAGAAAGTACTTACCTTTTGATGGCTGAAATGCTAAACCAAGAAGAGGACTTCTGTTGATATACAACACTCTAGCTGTGATAAGGAAAGACAAACAATACTTTGATTCTGTTGTTAGATATTCGTCATCTTTGTATGCAGCATCTGTTAAACAAATGAAAAGAAAAACGCAGTTATCAAACAAAACATCAGTTATATGTCTGGCTGTAACAGATGTACTAAATTATAACCAAAGAATATCAAGATACAGTAACAATGACAATGAATCGTTTAATATATCTAAATTTGTCGGAAGTTGATCAAAAATACTTACTGTAAATATTATTTATTTAAACTCGAAATTTAAAAAAAAAAAACTTGTAGCCTATTTGAACCAGTCTCGAACCCACTTTCTTGGTGTCATACGATGCAACATGGCCGTGGTCCTAGATACTAGAAGTCACGATTTCATGATTGAGATCCACAAGATCATCGCTCCATTTTAAAGTACACCTACCTCCTTGGTAGTCAGCATCATGAAAATCATGATTATAGTAATAATCGGAATCAGAGAGACTTTCTTCTTCTTCTTCATCAGCAAACTTGTCAAGCAGGACTTGTCCTTTTAGGTCGTCTCGGCATAAAACAGATGTGTTATTACCGTCGCAATCCATATTTGTCATAATCTGTTTACAATTAATAGGTGGGAAAAGAGACATAATTTAGTTTAAAATGGCTCGTTGCATTTTATTAATATCTAATTTTTGGTTAACAAGACATATGGACTTTTCAAATGCTGTAACATCCTAGCGAAGATAACAAAGTTAAACGTACGAAAGCTTTAATGTTTCATTTACATTCATGTAATATATCTATGCTTAATTATCACATAACACCTTGCTATATTATACATATCATCGAATAAACTTTAAAAAAATTTCTTTTGTAATATTTTTACTTCAAAAATGTCTGATAGCAACGTTTGTAAAGCATATTTATATAATATACCTTTATCTTTCTTATTTCAAACTGAATTCCTTTCAATTTTTCCTCTGTGTCTTGTCCTTGATTTAATGTAAATTCTGTATTTTTGAAGACCTTATTTGCTTCAGACACATGATTCTCCAACAAGAACAAAATGTCATAGTGACTTTTATCATCGTTCTGTGTAGTAAAATAAGAAATAAAGCTTGTTTGAGAAATAGTAAACAGAAATAATCACTCGTTTATTTTATCTCAAAAGTATACTTTAGTAAGTATAACGTGGAAGCCAAAAAGAAAAATTGCCACAGTTAAGCTTGATGAAGTGTAAATTTTCTTAATTTACTAATATGACTTTTTCCGGTTCATATGTTGTTTTTTATCTACAATGTGCCTCTGGAAATGAACCATAGCATGTCTTAACTACTTTTATATTTATCAATTTACTTTTTATGACATAAAAACATTTCATTTTTTATTATTCGATTGAAAAAGTGTAGAGAAGCGAAACTTATTTCAATGATAACAAATGTCCAAAAACAAATTTACCTTATTTAAATTCATATAATATTTCCACACAGTTGTGTCAGTTGTTAATTTAACCGTGCACACATGATGATCTTGTCCGTTAGATGGTGGGAGTAAATCTCGTTTTCGTCTGCCTCTTGGCTTATTATTCATCAACTTCATGACAAAACAATCATCGTTAGTAGATTTTTATTGTTAATAAGGTTTTATATTAACAAAAACAACATTTTTGTCTAATGAAGTTTGTAAGAAAAACATAATGTATGATAAATAAATGGCATTATGTATTGATTTAGTTAATGTTTGTTGTATTGTGAAAGATAACCTTTCTTTAGAAGTATTGCAAATGTTTATGTCCTCAAATAAGCAGATTATCAATTAAACTGAGTATACACATTGTTGCCTTGAAAATTTACACTCATATTGTTTTGGTTTACATTGGCTAGGTGCATTGTAGTATCTGAATAGTTTCAAACCTGAGTCTTACTCCCTGCATTTTGTACCCAATCAGAGTGGAATGTGTGATTCCTGGAAAAAGTAGAGAATTAGAATTGAAAACGATGTTTTACTCTCACAGGAGTCATATTGAAGTTTCATATGAAATCTTGGGAATGTGTTTTCTTACTTATAACATAAAGGCGTTTGTATACCATTTAAGTGTGCATGATCTGAGGTGTTTATGTTAAATATGTTTTTATCAATTAATAAAACTGTCATAATGAAGGAAAAACATCATTTTATTATATATTATTATTATATATTCGTTTCATTCAAGATTTATTTCAATAGAAAGACCTGCATCTGAGAAAACCCGACGATAGAACAGAATTAAGAATGTAGTTTGCGATAAGAAAATAATATCGTGCAAGTACCATACTACTGACCCTCCAACAATAATACTCGTTCTTCTTCATCAATGGTTGTATAATACAGAGCACAAAAACATTTGTGAATAATGTTTATAAAATATCATACCATAGATAGTCTTTTTCAGAGTATATCACTGTATGAAATGGTGTTGGCTGTTTGAACAACCAGGAACTTGGAGCAATATGATAAATGGTTTCTCCGGGATGAATTAGTTTTCCTTGCAATGTTCCATTGATTACAGCTATTTTTGCTTCACTCCCAGGATAATCTTGAAAACAATAGGTCGTAAAATTAAACAATATTTTCAAAGATATATGACAGAACCTAATGGGTTTTATTCAATATTAATCATCATATGAAAAATGTTGCCTTACGGCAAATGTAGTCAAACTGTATAAAAATATCCAAATTAAAATAAATATACAAGCCGTTTTCGATTGCGTGCTTTCGATAACAATGTATCAAATTGTCTACAAATAATATGTAATATATGTCAAATGGGAATATGAAATTAATGTTAAAAATATAGCCAGGTCGTTTATTAGGGAACAGCCTGAGAAACTCCTGTAATTACCTTCCACCCAAACCTTTTGTATATTGTCTGAAATTATATGAATTTATGTACAGTCCATGTTTATATTCTATCAAATAAAATGTTATTAAATAATTAAATATAACATGTATCTATTGTTAGGTACAAATACATAACTGCAATATTTTTCGAAATGAATAAAATATACAAAACTTAAAAAAGACATTTATACATTGGGATATTTTAGTTGAAAACACACATATACACATGTCTAGATTTTAATATTCGTGTAATGCTAGGCTTAAAAACGAATTATAAAAATCTTTATGAAAAGAAATAGACAAAAGAAATGTGTATTCCAGGTTTGCTTGAATAAAAAAATATTTTTTCGCTTTTGATTTTAGGAATATGTGCTTTGAAATTCATGATCAAAATTAAAATACTGGTTATTATATTAACATTATGTTAAAGAGTTTTAATCACAGTTTATCACCGATTCTAAAATTATTTTATTCTTTTAAAACAGCAATTCAATTTTCAACAGCACAGTTTTATGATAAGAGGCGATAAACGATAGCAAGATCCGTTACGTTCACATAAAATGGGCTTTTTACATTTATCAAGTTTTCACAATATTTCGGAGATGTAATCTGTCTTAAAGTCCTTTGGTGTATTTGTTATCATTGCAATACATTATCTTTTCATTAAATGATATATTACCTAGTAACTATTTTTACATTGTATATCAATGTTGAATATCTCATTATGATAACCTTCTTTTGATATATTAACCACGCATCAAAATGATAACTTTTCCTGACATTTAAACTGTAAGTTAAACACAATTCCAAAAACTGGCTATTTTCATGTTGAGAATAAATGCAATATTGGAATATCAACGTTGCGTTATTCTTAACTGTATGAAAAAAATACTTTGCGTCAGCGGGGATTTTGAAACTTAAATTCTCTAGCGCTAACTAGTATGTAGTCCAAGTATTTTAATGAAAGTGATTTGGTCCATAATGGAAAGGTTTATGTTATGTTGATAGTATATAATTTACTTATATGGGGATATAGTTTATAATTGTGAGATACATGATGAGATTTAATTTTACATATCTTTATATTGCAGATAAAAACAACTGTTCTAGAACAACTTATTTTTTCACATCATATAACTGTTCATACTTATTCACTTAGAACTCTATCAACTATTTTGTCCAAGAATATTTCAAAAGGAATATCAAGTTGGTTTTATTAATATTTAAAATATGGCTGGAAAATGTTCCTATTGTAGACAAAATATATTTTAACAGCAACCTCCATTAGTAATAAAGAATAAAGGGATGGTGTAATTTATGCTATCGAATCGGACATAAATTGATAACTTACAATAGCGATTTCAAAGTAAAAAATAAGTTTTTATTTCCTTTTTATTACAAAAATGCGTTTAAAATGTTTCATATTAACTTTGTGAAAAACTTTGAATCAAACTGCCCGAAATTAGCTGGATATGGCATTTAAGCTTTAAGAATAAACTAAATAAGATAATAAACATTACTAGATGAGCCCAAGGCAAAAAAAGGCTTTGCCGGATTGACAAGTATAAAAGTTAAATGGTATTGTAAGATTTTTTTAATAACATAATTTCAAATGAAATAAAACCGTAAGACATTTTTCCACATAATTACAATATTTTGTTTCGTTCGTTGCTGATATTATTTGAGTCAATATTGTATCTAAAGCATGTACCAAACCTGAATGAATAATATTTGATTATGCATTACAGATCCGTTCAAAAACCCTTATGCAAGCACATTTTGGGCAATAAAATTTCGATTAAGACGACACGGGAATTATCTATTGAAAAACTTTTAACATGTATGATAGTAATCATCAAACAAACGTTTAAGTTATTAGGGATTGTATGATAAACAAGAGATTAAATATGATCAAAGCGTTTTTATTGTCAACAACGCTTGACACACATATTGAGCGTTTTATTCATCAAAGCAAAACAAATGTACATGTCTCTTTTATGTGTTATCAGCAAAATGTGTGTTTTTGTCTTTAAACAATGCATGCACGTTTGATTTATCAACTGTTTGCAGTTGATAATATCTAACAAAAGTGTACACATGTATCGAAAATGATATCTTATACTGTTCAAAATCATTGATCCAATAGAATACATTTTCCTTTTGATAATAAAACATATTAAAGAAATTGTACACTGACACCAACCTGTATCCTTTCCAGTATAAACAAATGACAGATCTGGCGTGGTGGTTTTCTTTTTGTGATGCAGAATAATGTTTGATGTTGACTGTACACTTCTTTTTAATTCAAGAGAAAAGTTTCTGAAATCATTTTAATATAAGTTAAGGCATTGAATATCAGCGTTTTGATATATTTGTGTTTAATCAAGCAAAACTGTAGAAAAATAAATGATTTAAAATATCTCATATCTAACAGATATTAATAGTGCTGTCTGGCAAACTACAAATCATGAGTCCATTTGACATGCGGCGTCTTAGCAATATAAGAAGGGCACACCATAATACACTGTTCTCAAATTATGCAAGTTTTGACAGTATACGTACATTTTTTTTTAAAGCAAACTCGTAAATTGATGAATATTACTCTCATTTCGTCAATCCCGAGTTGCTGTATTTAAGCAAGTTTATATCTTGCCATTTTTTGTTTTGCATATATCTTGACGCTTATGTCATGCATAAAAGGTCTCCAAAGCAGAAAATGTATTGTCATAACGGCATATCTGGCATTTATCTTATAAACAATTTGATTATATATGCTATTTATTAACTTTTTTCAAATGGAAATGTTCAGTAATTTTCTTGCCATTAATGTAGCATTCAGAATAAAGAAATGAACATACTAGTGCAAAGCACGCACCTTTTAAACGCATTCAATTTAAATCGGATTAAACCTCCCGACTTGCCGCTTTTTGTATGTAAAAGGTGAAGGTCATCTATATCGTAATGTAGTGGCTCATAGTACAACAAACGCTTGTCCAAAAGCTCTTCCTTTCCTGTATCAAAATAAGACAGAGGGCATTCGAAAATTACACAAAGGTATATATATTATCCTAATCAAGTATACCGCTAAATAGACAAATGTACACCTTGTACACCTTGTACTATAATATTGCCACACACATGCATGTAAACAATTACAGTACACATTGTTCATAATATACAAAAGCTACAATTCCTTTGCTGACGATTCTATGCATGTTTGATATGTTTTGAAATATTCAAGTTTATCGGAATCAAAGTAACAGAAGAATCATCAACGAATTACATTATTTTACCACAAAGTAAACAGAAAAGACTTTCGACCACCTGCATTTTAAATAAAAACATAATAAACAAAACCACAAGATAACTGTTTTAAAATCGCGTATACTTTATTTTTATTACATAAGAACATACATTTGAGAGGAATGCAATACTTTTGCGAGGAACAACTAAAAAGATGCAAACTGCTTTAAATAGGAGAGCTTTATTACGTAAACATTTTAAATCATTTTAAATTTTAATATTTAAAACTGACAAAAAATATATCATAGAGTTTTTCTGAGGAGACGATACAATATAAAGTGTTCTATTATCTCTTATCAAACTGTCTGGTTGATAAAATCATGAGTTATGTAAAATAATGATACCTATGTCTATGTGTAAAACATATTATGACTGTACTAAGAACATCGTAGAATATTCAATTATATGTAATAATATATCATGGGTCTAGATAAAGACTAAATTATTGGTATGAAATACAATTGTATATAAATCATTATTCATACTCTAGTTTATACAAATGTCAAACTGACATTAAAATAATATTTTTTCATAAAGATTAAATATTTATAAACCATTATCAAGTATACCCCTTGTAAAGTTAAAAATGGGTAAATGCGGCTAATTACGGAGTAATTTAAATACTACTGATTCAATTTATACTTTAAACGTTCCCATATAATGTAATTCAATCTGTCATAAAATGAAAATACATTCATGAAATATAAAAAACAGAAGAAAGAAAATATAGCTAGTAAAGTACACAATATCAGGCTTATAATTTGATATCATTGCTGTTCTTGCAAAAGTAAAATGTAGTAAAAATTATGGTAACTTGTGTGTGACATGTTGTACTTTCGCTCCGCGGGGCGCAAGACAAAAACACTGAAATACGACAAAGTGGACACCTTACCAAAGTGGTTGCTTTGTCTTATTTTCTTGTTTTTCTCTGGTGCCTCACGGAGCGAAAAAAACGACATGACACAAATCAAACATCATAACCTTAACTCCCTCTATGTGATTAAGATTAAATCAAATAATGCCTTTGTATATTAAAATATATTACTGAGAGATATCAATGAACAACCGTAAGCGCTCACATAATTTATCAACATTCAAAAAGTTTAAGGATAATACAAAAGCTATATTAAAATCGTCTGACTGTCATATAAGACGTTTTTTTGTTGTTTTTTTTTAAACTTAAAGGGCGAAGTTTGATCTTAGAACTATATGAGCCAAAAATATGTTTTAGTCTTTGGTTCATGATTACATTATTTCAACTTTCTGATATCATGTTTTGAACATCACGAATTCAAATTTTCATCTTCACCAAGTTGAAATCGTGAATTCCATAAGTTAAAATGGTGAATTCTGTATATTGAAATCGTGAATTTATGAAATTGAAATAGTGAATTCGTGAAAATAATTCCGAAAACTCAAGAAGTTTATATGTCACCACCGATCTTTCGTACGATAGTGTAAGTGAGGTAACAAAGCAACAACTTAAGTATAAAACGTGATTTATCTGTGCTATCTTGTATAACTAAATTTACCGTGCTCAAAACAACGTTTCATGAACACGTTGATATATATAAATAAATCAGCAATATTCCAACAGACGTCGTCATTTCATACTATTTTAGCTCTAATAATATTCCTTCTTAATTCAACTAAACCAACAAAAATGTTTTATCATATTGATCTATAAGATAAGGTTTTGGTACTTAATATGATCAATCAACAATATACTTTCAGAACAAAATTAAATGGTTTCAAGTGTGTTTCAACCGATATTTGATAAGCCATGTTTTAGTTATAAATAAGTGAATGAAACACGTTTTGTTTGATAACAATAATATAACATTGATCAGCAATAAAACAATGGTTTTGCACACTTGTGAGTTAAGTTTTTAACAGCTCAACACCTCTCATAATTGAAAAAGATACTTATCTTTAATAATAATGGCTTTGATAAAAATGGTTTATCTACAATGTTGAAGGCGATCTTGTTAATATATACACTTTTAAATAAAATAATTGATTTTAGATGAAGTTATTTTTTTTCGACTTAAAAATCGCTTACAAAACACTTTCAGTATTCAAATAAAACATGAATGATCAACAGCGGGTTATGTAGATTTATCACCCAGATAAAATTTAGTATTGCATTGAAATTAAAAGATTTATATCCATTCTTGAGTGTGGTGCATTCATGCAAATTTTATAATCAAAGCGTCAATGTGTCGACGTGCCTTTATTTAGTTCTTACAGCTTCTGGTGGCTAACCAGAATGTTTATCTTTTTTTATTTCTTTTCAATTCCACCAACACCCCATCCAACCCCACCCCTACCTCCACCCACATAAAAAAGAAATAATTGCCCTATTCAAGGATATCAAAAATGCATTTCATTTTGAAGCGTATTTTCAAAGTATGAACTATTTCAGCCAGATGAATACCCCATATATTAACATGACCAAATCCAAACCGCTTAGCAATTGCTGACAATGTTCAAACTTCAATCAAAATATTTTTGAACATTGTTATTGATGACGATACATGGGTTTACTATTTTTATTTCGAGCAAGTCAGAAAAATTGGAAACAAAATAGTGTTGACCAAAAACGGTAGAAGGCCTGTAGTTGCCAGAAGGACCAAGACCACACATCTGAGTTTGTGAAGAAATTTTTGAAGTCTTGCAACATTCACCATACTCTCTAGATCTAGCCCCATGTGACTTTTACCTTTTCCAAACCTTAAAAAGTTCTTGGCTCTGCCAGGTTTATCTAATCAGAGTGCAGTGACGAATTTCATAACTCAGAGATTAAAATTATGTATTTCAAACCGCGGAGAACATTTTGAAGGGATGTTATGTTCATCTAACTTAATTCTTTTTAGATATCGCACAATACACATCACAAATCGAACAACCCACGTTCGCTACTTTTCTTTTATCATATAAATTATTCAACTTTTTTATCTTAATATGTTGGTAAGTTGTAAATAAATCAAAATAATAAAACCCAACAGATTTACATAGTACAGTATCTTACAAAGTACAATTTTAAGTTTGTTACACAATAACACATTTGATAGATAAAGTTCGAGAGAAAAAAAAAACCTGTATCCGGGATAATCACCTAGATATGTTGATCCAATTATGACTATTGAAACCGGTAATGATGCAACACTGCACGGCTTCTAAGAATACTTTTTTTTTCTTACTGGAATTGATTGGTATAGTATTACAGAATTAAACTATTTATCTTGCAAGAAATAAAAACTGAAATTGTGCATCGCTTTAATATAATTCTATATAATTCTAAGTGCTTGAGATATAAACTACTGTACAATGATAAAAAAAATCTTTTGTTTTTAAAACACTTGCACAACGATACACATAATTTAATATAACACGTTTAATAATAAGTTTTTTTTAAATAAACTTTATCTGGGATAAACACATTACTTTACACAAACAAAAACGTTAATGATGAAAAAATCTAACAAAGAAGACAAAGTATAGATCTTTTCAACTTGCAAATAAAATATACCAAAAACAAGCTAATTGAAAATATGAAATCACTTATATTATATTATGGAATCACAATTAACACTGATCCGGTTGAAATATTAATTAATGTACACAAATATTCGTTTCTTTATATATATTGAAACACTTACAAAGGAACACTAAGGATAATTAAACATGTACTTGATAATCATAAAATAATTGCCCCAGGTTAATTTTGCTCGGTTATCGTAGTAAAATAAATATTTTAATTGCTTTCTTAGAAATACGGCAGTATAATCATACATTTAATAAATGACACTAACAATCGGCCTATACTTTTTCTAAACATAAGAATTCTAGAATTATCTAAGACCATTAAATTTGACAGGTGTTGAAGGAATGATAAATAATACATTTAGAGAAATAACTACACGTTTAGGTCTTATTCAATTCCCGTTTTGATATTTCACCCAAGATATATATTTCTAACATTGCAGACGCAGTTTACAGGAAAAAAACATATTGTTTAATTTATTTTATACTCGACATAACAAAGTTCCATTTTTTTTTTATTTTTTTTTTTTTTTTTTTTTGCTGTGTGTTCTCTTATTTGTTAAATCTAAAATACTTTTCAATAGCACATTCTATCGTTCATAAAAAATATCACTTGCATTAAATCTTGATCTATAACCCCCTTGCTCGTATGCTAGATATGGAAATCAACTTTTAAGAGTAGCTATTTATCAATAAATTATTTCTCGATAGTCATAATAGCATAGTCAGAATTTCTCAAAGATATAATTGAATTATTTAATTTTTTCCTAACGTGCATTTAATATTTTAATTCTATGACGTACATTAAAAGGTTTATGAAAAGATGGAAAACAAAAAATTCAAAAAAAATGAAAAAAAAAATGAAACTTTCATAAAGTTAAAATAAAAAATAAAATAAAATTATGTCAAACCTGCAACATAATTAGCACACAATGCTATCTGAAATAATAACAAAATTAACTCGACATTTAGATGTCTCATTTTGCACTCTATATAAATCTCAACGTTTGACAATAGTTATTTTATCCATTATGAAAATGCACATCATTTATTCGTCTGCATTTAGATGGTAATATCCATGCATGCGTTTATCATTACGACTGAACTGTTTACTCTAAAACTTCAGCTAGTTTAACTATATTTTATATCACGGTAGTTTTTTCCTACCTATACTCTTACCACACATGCGCAGTTAAAACTATAAAACCCGCTCCGATTTGATAGTAAAGTTCGCATTACTTCTGTTTGCGGTGGCTTTCCGGTTTATCTTTTATGACATGCCATCTCACACTGTCATAAAATTATAATATTTAGTATGTTATATTGATGTAAAATGATATGGTTACATGTAATTAACTCATAATGTTTAGATAGGTTGATTCATTTGGTTAAACATAAATATAACAATAAACAATACCATTATAATTAAAACCATTAATTAATCAATCAATCGATCAATCAATCAATTATTTAATTAATTAATTTATCTATTTATATTTTCCTTTTCTATTTTTATTTTTTCATTTACCTGTATTTATTTATATTTATTTATTTATTTGCATTTGTTTTGTTATTTAAGACGCGTGTCTTCGTTGTACTTCAATATAGATTTATAATAGATAAGACATCAATAAAGACATAGCAGACAAACATTAAGGAAACAATAATTGGCTCCTAAGTTGTAGAGTCATTATCGTTATAGCTTTTTTAACCTTGTATTACAGGTCAAATAATGTTGTCATGTTTTACATGTTGTTGATAAAATTTGAGAGACATTGTCTCTATTCACATTCACTAGTATTCGGCATGTGCATATCTTTACTACAAGGTCATGCAAGTGTAAATAGTTTCAAATGTCTTTTTTCATTCATAGTTTTTTCAAAGTGTGTATCTTAAGTCATAAGATTTTTATTTGCATTACAATCATATATTTTAATCGCTAACTACAAGATTAATTTAAAAATATTAAACTATATGAGTCATAGTTTGTTTTCATATAATATTATTATATTTCTAAATTTGCTTTCATACAATTGGTCAATTTTTTGTTTACGACATCAGGCAATACAATATTTCTTAGCCGGTATATACATTACGGAATTTCGTATACATCGTTTTGTATTGTTACATAAAGAAAGTAAGATTGTATATGTGCCTGAAGTTGGTTAATCAGTTCTTGCAAAAAAAATACCAAAGCTGTGAAAACTATTGCAAAAGAAAAATGCGTTTAGCATATGCAGGTTTACAACATTTTTCTATAATGTATGTTGATTTAATGATTTCCTAAACTTAGAACTCAGCAATGGCGAATATCAAACTGCATACGTCACGTAACTTTATGGCACTCATTATGTCACTTTTTGTATTGTATGAGTCATTATATTACCCGGATTGTCTTACGTTGATAATGTTATTGACATAGTTTATTATGCCTGCAAGTTGGTCTATAAAAGTTTAGATTAACAATCTACGTCAAATCAATAATGCATGATTCAGTCAAATGTCCTTAACTTGTTAAGAACACTTGTACTTTTGTTCAAACATGGTATTTATAGCATACGATATTAAAAGTAACTTGAATCACATGAAAGCTTATGAGTTTTTTCAAAACTCAGTATATTATGCAAGTTTGGCATTTATCTTTAATGCAACTACTACACCGAGTTATAACATATTGATTTAAATAAACATGCATTTGTTCATTTTCTTATGATGAATAAAGAACTCTTCAAGATCGGATATGACATGCATTACTTTATTCAATTTCTTATACTTCTAATTAAAGGGACATATAGCTAATGAATTATCATTTTTAATAGTTATAATCGGTAACCAATATTACTTTTGGAATAATTTATGTTATAAAAGCTTATTGGCAATGCAAAAGGGAGTCATTATTTAATGAGTGCATATTTAAATGAACTGAATACTTTCAGTTCCGAATTGTGTATCTAAAAAGATAGAAAACATGTCTTTACACTTCAATAAATATACACTCAAATAAAATAGGGTCAGACATAAATACAATGACAAGTGTCCATTCTTTTGATTGATATTATCTTTAGTAATCCATTACACTGCCGAGGGAAGTGACAATTAATCAGGCATAATAACATACGATAGGGAACAACCACATTAAAACAATTTACCTGTTTGAAACAAAATGTTCTTAATAAAATAGTTGTTATAATATCATATTTAGAATGTCTTTATTCATTGAATGTGTTTGCTGAGATAACAGAAAAATATAAGCTTTAAAAGTGTTAATCAGTCGAAAACAGTAGCAATTAAGTAGCCAAGATAAGGTCATTTGGTGTGTCGTTAAAGTGATCTTGTCTCTTTTTTATTAGACCATAAGAGTAAAATAAACAAAGTAAGAGTAGAGCCTCTGACAATATCCAGTCATACAAGATATGCAACCAGTTGAACAGGAAAATGATTACCATAACTAGTTGAAACACGCCATGCGAAGGGATAATGTAACTTTCTAGGGTAACCAAGAGCTAGATATTTTTCAAAGCGACAATCATTTGTTTAATAATTTGCTCTTTGGACCAGGTTTGTTAACTAATTCATTTTCAAACCGATTTCACTGAATAAGTATGATAATTTATATTGTCTAAAAAGAAGCAATACTCGTTTTATACAGATTGATATATCGTTGGGATTTTTTTTTAAGAACAGTAATGCAATATAAATGAAATAGAATTTTTTTCCCTCTAAAGCTTTCATTTTGGTGTTATGTTATAGTTTCCAAAACATTATTTATTGACTAGCATCATTGGTTATTCCGCTGATAACTGAACCATCATTTGTTTCTGTTGCTTTTTGCAAGTAGTACAGTTAAAGTTATTTTGTATTTTATGGAAGTCAAAAACTACTTTGTTTACATTCTGATACTTTCATGACAAATAGTTTAACATTCAATAGGAATTTCTAACTTAAAGGATGATATAGAGGATATTTGTTTAGTTCAGTGTAAGATCGGAATATATTTCACCGAGTGAGCACCAAAAGGTATATTTCACGAGTGGCGCAGCCACGAGTGAAATGTGAACTTTTGGTGTTCATGAGGTGAAATATATTTCGATCTTACACTAAACTAAACAAATTTTCTTTTTATTACATGCAATCAAATGTTAAAAAGGACATTTTTACCTAATAATAAATGAATAGCGCGCCAAATAATTATACAACGTGACGTCATTTACGACGTCACGTTATTAAGTTGGTTTCCAGTTCTGTGTACGCTGGTATTTCACTGAAACAACGTAAGGGGCTTAAATTCAAAACAGTGAAATTATCAAATTGATAATTTCACTGTTTCAAACAGTGAAATTATCAGTTTTAATTCACTGATATATTTCTATAAACCATCGAAAAGCATGTAATAAAAGCATTTATTTTACTCCTTACCATTATTTGAAATTTTTAAAGACATGTTTGTCTTTTCTACAGATAAATAAAATTATTCATTTCTGAAACTTTTGTCCCTTTAATAATTGAATTTAATAATTTATTTCACAAGATGTTAGAAACTACAAGGTTCAGTTTGTTATTCTATAACTTCTATAATTATATAAAATATATTTGTCTCCACTTTGGCGTATGCAATGCTGTATCAGCATTTAATTTAATGAATTAATGTCAATTAGCGGATAACTCAAATTTTCAACAATTTAACTGGCATTAAACTATATACGATAATATTTTATAAAATGTTAAGCGGCCAATATCTTTCTATTGTGCAACATTATAAATTAGAAAATATGATGATATGTTAATTCTAAAAAAAGTCATATGATATTTGGAGGACTGTTTAAATGCTGTTTGAAATTGAGGATATCCCTTGTGAGCAATGCACACAAAGTAAAACGATGGAAATTGCAGAATCGGTATTATAGCTTGATCCATGAGAGAATTTACAAGAATCAGCATCTTCATCGCCCTCTAGCACCAGCTACATCTCCAACATTATTATACATGTATCTGTCAATAACCCAAATATAACGAGATTAAAATAAGTACAGGGCAACTGATAACATCTTTCATACAAAAATAAGCACCTTCTGTAATAAGTGTAAAAAATCTTAGTTTCAGCACAGTTTATAAGTTTATAAAATTCTCTTTTGTTTTCACTTGTTTGTGTTTTCTTTTCTTGCTCAAGCAATAAAGTACTGACATTAAATATTTCGAAGAAAATGTAATGCTGTGGTAATTGTTAGCATAAAATATATCTTTAGCCAATCTTGGAATCTTCGATAAAAAATTGTAAAAAACATTTGTATTTTATACAAATTATAGTTGGTGCTAACAGTTTTATCCTTCTATCCATCAAATTTACGGGCCCGCTGAAATATATGTCTTTATAAACTCGTGCATCCGTTAAGATAATATAATAAATCTTTCATTTTGTACGCTTTCCGTTTCTGTAATACTATATATCAGCATGGGAAATCAGCAGTCGACACACGGTTAAAAAGCGCGAAAAAAATCTTTATCAATAATAAAAAAGATTTTAGAGTTTTGGAACAGTAAACATGTTTTTAAAAGCATTTTAGGAGCTGTTCTGTTGACCATACGATCTTAATGTATTCAACAATTTTTTACTTTCAATCATAACAAATATTACCTAAAAACAAAACAAACACTTTCTCCTAGACAATTGTATAACTACATGTACTTGTAGTTTTCATAAGATATCCAGTTTTTTGTTATCATACACAAACTGATTTAGGTCGAAACTACAATTCCTGTTAATACCGTAACTGCTTATACTCAATTAATTCATATTCCTTATAGAGAATAAGGCTCAGTCCTCTTCTTGCACATCTAGTATTTATCTAAATTAGACCTTAATTAAAGTGTTGAAAGTTCAAAAATATCTATTTAAAGTGACATTATGCCCATCAAAGGGTATACAGTGAGTGAACAGGAAAAAGTCAAAATAAGTTTACATTTTGCCACAATTCCTTTCAATTTTATAATTTACTTCCCATGCACAATAAATAAGTCACATTTCCCGAACGAAATTCCTGAAAATATCCATCGGAATTTACCTGTAACATTCTATTTTGAAAAAAATAGTGGAGCTGTCTTTTTATATTTAGGC